CCCCCCCCCCCAAAAAAAAAAAACTGCAAGCCAGAACCCTAACCAACAAAAGCCACAAGTCCACAAGTCTGAACACCTCAAACCCCAAACTCCCAAACCACGAACCCCTACCGCCACAAACGACTGCCTGTAGTTTTCCAGGAATGCGTTGCGAGACCTCAGCTTGTCATACCTGAGCCAGGCAAAGGAAGGACTTAGCGGGCTGTAGTTTTCGAACTCGGCTTTGTATGCGACTTACATACATACCATAGTCTCCATTGTAGATAGGATCCTAAATATAAAGTTGGTTTAACCAAAAAAGGGAACTACAATGGAGACTATAGGTAAGCCCTGAACCCTATCTAAACCCAAAACCCTATGCCGGATGTGCATGGGGCTTGGGCTTTCTCGAGGCAGTTGCGGGGCTTTGGTAGTTTACCGGGGTTTGGGAAAGGGGCGGCGGTTCCGAGTTGGATGGTCTTCGACATGTCGGAACTTACAGTACTTGACAAATACACCTGTAAGCGCGCAATATCTTGCACAAGAACAGACGCCGAAGCGGTACAGCTCAACCCTGGATGCTCCAGTGGCCACAAACCTTAAGCCGCACTCATAGTCTAGCCGACCCCTTGTTCTGCTAGCTAGTTGTTGGGGAACTCTCACCGGTCTGGGCTCAAGCAAACTCTCTTCTTCAACAACCAGGCCCAAAAAAGTTCAAACTTTTTAGGATAGACCAAATATATAAGGCCAAAAAGTTTAAAGTTCTCCTATTGGCTAACTAAGCAAATCCCACTTGGAACTGCAGTTGTGGCGGTTCAGAGCTTTGTTTCACGAGTTTAGGGTTTTGCTACGACCATGTCTTTGGTGTAAACGTGCTGGGCATGGTTTCTTTTAACGTGTCAAGCAGTGCAGAATACGTCTGGCATATGTCGTATATCTTTTAGGTTCCCAGAGAGCCCAATACCCCTTAATAAAGTAATATACCTCAAACTATAAGGGGCTTGATTTATGATTTAAGGTATATTCCTTAATTAAGGGGTATTGGGCTCTCTGGGTTGTGTAAGCAAGACGTCAGGTGTTGCTATATTTTAGGCTTAGGTCTGGTTTGCGGAGAGCAGCTTCCAGGGAGGCCCACACCATTGGAGTCGCAGAAAATAAGGGACCCCTTAGTCGACAGTTAGATCGAACATAGAAACAGAGATAGAGTTTTTCGATATAGATAGATAGATAGATAGACAGACGGATAGACAGATGAATGGATAGATGTACCAAGAAAGCCGTAAACCCTAAACCCTAAACCCTGAACCCTAAACCCTAAACGGTTTAGGGTTTAGGGTTTAGGGTCAAGGCCCGGGAGCCCCCGTCTCGGCTTTGCAGATCAAGGCGCTGCTTCACGCAACGATCGAAGAGCTGGCAGATGGCGGTGTGGTTTGCCAGCATGAGGCCATTCACCTGGCATGGCTTCGGTGTTGGGGTTCAGGGGTTCGCGGGTTTGGGGTTTACGGGTTTTAGAATTTAGGGTTAGCCAGCCGGCCAGCCAGCCACCCAGAGAACATCGCAACGCAAAGCATGTTGCCAATGTTGGCCCAATCAGTTTCCGTCGAGTCGTCTCCATGACTAAAATACGGTGCATAAACTTCGAAAACATAATGCCGCCTTGTGTGTCCCACAATGAGCAATGCGAATCCTATGCGCTCAGCCACCAGTAGGTCCTGAAACCCTAAACCCATGCAGGCACTGCTTCCGACATAAGAGCTGAAAAGTATTCATAGCAAGAGCAAAGAAGAACACTGTCTGCCTGTTTGCGGTTTAGCAGTCTCCGCAAGAACACGTAAAAAAAAGCATTGCTGGTGCTTTGGCGTTTGGTGGGCATTGAGAAGCCAGAAAAACGAGGGCGACGTGCTTGACTATGAGGGTTCGAAGAGGATGACAAACAACAGAAGCAATGAGGAAGGGCTCTCCCATGGTGACCATGTTCCACATCGTGTTGACCATTTTCCAGACTACTCAATAGGCTTTACATAAATGTTGAAAGCAAGTGGTTGACCCTAAACCCTAAACCCTAAAACCTAAGGCTTTAAGAGGCCTTTCACAGGGCTTCATTGACCTTGCGGCTGCCACGATTTAGGGCTTAGGCACGCAAGCTAAGGATCTGCTGCACTGGCTGTGCCCAAACGTAAGGAAATTTGGCACCATACTTGGAGGGTCGGGGGACTGAGTGAGTGGGAATCTTACAGAGTTAGAAGTATCATAAATTAGGATCCCTTTTTGGGCACATGCCACTCTACTGATTATCTGATCTACTTACTAAGTCCCGCGACCCTCCAAGTACCAGTTGCTAGCCGTTCAGCCTACACTACACTAGACCATAAACCCTGAACCCAAAGCCCAGAACTACGACCCTGAGCCCTAAACCGTGAAAGCCGTGAATCCCCCAACCATGAACGTCCACATCGCAAATCCTGACATCCACCCTAAACCCTAAACCCTAAACCCTGAACCCTAAACCCTAAAGCCTAAACCCTAAACCGCACCATGCAGGCCTTGTGCGCGTGCTGAAGGTATGGGCTCTGCCGGGACAAAGCAACTTGAATACTCCTTGGCTGAGGACTGGTAATTGTCGTTCACATACTACCTACAAAACACAGAATAACCACACACGCACACACACACACACTGAGAAGACTAATGATTGTTTCTTTTGTCGTGGAAACATTGCAGGCTTCGGCTGTAGAACATTCAAGGGCCCGGTCTTACTCCATATTTCGGTCGTAGGGTATTTAGAGGCACAGCACCAGCTAAAGAAACGTAGCGCCTAACCTCCACATATCAGTATTTGTTGCAGGGTCACCGGCAGGCTTCGACTCTTGCTGTCCGCAATAGCCACTGGGCACTGTTCCGCATGCTCGAACACAGTACACTGAGATACCTTGAGGCTTGGGTGCACTTTCCTCCTGACCCATGTAAGTGAAGACCACCAGTTACGATGCGAAGGCTGAGACAACAAACTACCCTAAACCCTAAACCCTAAACCCTAAACCCTAAAGCCTAAACCCTAAACCCTAGACCCTAAACGTTTTAAGGGGCCTGGTTCATGGAGCCCCATGAGAAGCATGGGCTTGGGAAGGAGAGGCTCCTGTGGCTTCTGCTGGCTTGGACTTCGCGAGATGTTGTAGCAAAACGAAACCACCTATAGTCTCCATTGTAGCTCCCTTTTTTGTTTTAACCAATTATATATTATGGATTTTAACAGGTATCCCCCAAAAGGAACTACAATGGAGACTATAGGCAGTCCACTAGATCTTCTTTTGGGTAAACTGCCAGTAGTAGATCTAAGCAGACTTGGAGATATGAATGCGCGAGAACCAGTTGTCAAAGGCCACATCCTGACACTAGTGGATGCATTAGTCGGACATTGGCCACAATTCTACATGATCGCACGGGACCCTGCGGTAGCGGATGCCGACGTGCACGCCGGTACTGCCGCATTACCACTGTGCTCTGTAGGCATCGCAAGACAAAGACCAAGAACACGATTGTCCACACTCGAATGCCCGCATAAGTGTCTGCCTAGAACCCCTCCAGTCCGTAGCCACGCAGCTTAGACACCATGAGCCCGAAGACGTGTCACAATTGATACAGGGTTTCGAAGGGTTACTATGCGGGGTAATTATTCTATGGTTCCTTCAAGGGGACCCTATGATAGTACCCGTTAGAGGCCCAAAACTCTCTCACTTAACACATGCAAAAAAAACATACTCACAACTATAACACTGGTCATCAGCAATTATACCGTCACAGTGCAATCATGACAGCGCCACTGCTTTCATGTTGAGGCTACCTAAAACCCGAAGAGGAGTCGTAAAATGTCTTAGTGGTACTTTATGGACAACGGAGCTGATAAGCCGTACAGGCTAATCCCTGAATTCAATCCTCGACTTCCTACCTATAGTCTCCATTGTAGTCCCATATATTTAACCAATTATATACTAAGGATTTCATAAGGTATCCCCAAAAAGGAACTACAATGGAGACTATAGGTAACCTTATATCCTCTGGAAGCGGCGCTGGCCCCCAGCGAATAAACTTGGCCAGCTTCCTCTCACGGATCCTTCTGTTAGGGTTTAGGGTTTAGGGTTTAGGGTTTAGGGTTTAGGGTTTAGGGGTTTAGGGTGTGGTTCGGGGAGGAGGCGGGGGGAGGGGGAGGACGGTTGAATTCGTTTGCAGGGTGTGATGTGGGGTGTTATTAGGTATAGAGCTCCCCTTATTCACTACAGGATTTCAGGCGGGGTTCAGGGATTGAACCCTAAACACTAAACCCTAAACACTGGTTTAGGCGTTCTTGCTTTCTTTTGTCATGGGGTCGGAGGGGTGTTCCAGCTCCTCGAAAGGACCCGGTTCGGGGTTCAGGGTTTAAGGGTCTTTGGAAGTCTCAGGGTTTCCCATTGCCTGACTAGTGGATAATGAACCATAAGGGTTTAGGGTTTAGGGCCTTTACTATGTAACCCAGAAGCCCATTGTTTTTGTAAGTGGACTTCCGCAGGGAGTCTTACAGCTCAGATGAGACATGCCAAAGCATGTTTGCAACTGAGTCTACTGAAGCCATGGCGTTCTTGTTGTGTGCATGGAATAGCGGCTAGGAGCGACGGTCTAGTCTAGCTGATGGACTGGGGCTAAGACCTACCCTGCACCATTAAGCCTCTGACCCTGACATGCTAAGCCAACATCCCTGGCAGCAAACCCTGCTGATGTTCGCATATGATTCTGGAGCTACTGAGTTTGAGCCCACCCTTTCTTTCGGGTTAGGGTTGAAGATTTGAAGGGTTCATGGTTTCCAGCCGCAGGCGATACATGCACGTCGGAACCACAAATTTCTCTCTGTAATCCTTACGGCGGCACGGAGCACAAAGGGAGGGTATATAACCTGGTAATCCCCAGCTCTCGCTGGCACCCCCCTGAGGTCACCTAAGCTGCTTCTGGCCTGGGCTGCTTGCTATATATGCCTGTGGCCATGATGTTCGGCAAATGATATCAGAGTTCGGTGGGTGAGACTACCCTAACCCCCGAGGTACCTACTATATAGGAACCTAGGGGCTCTAGTACCCTATATAGTAGGTACCGGGGGGGGGTTAGGGAGAGCTCGAAGACAGTCCTCTGCAAGCTCTTGTGAACCTGCGTTGGGTCGACATCGCCCTGAATGATGTTCAATATGGAGATGTAGACCTGAGAGAAAACGCAAGCATCTTCAGTTGCCCTATGGGTCCATGTATTCATATAGTATATACATTGGCCCCAAAGTACCTTTATAGGGACTACTTTAAGGCCAAAGTATCTAGTGTTTGGGTACATGGACCTTTAGGGTTGAAAGGACGACAAGGACATAGGAAATAAACTCATTCAGCGAACGCACAAGAAGAAACAGGACATTGACTGCGCTCGGGCGGGGCGTGCAAGGGTGGCGGCCAGAGTGGCCACAATAGGCACAAGCATTGTGGATGTGAGGAGACGGCATACTTTATGTATATAATATAGGAGCCTGAATACTTAGTATAGGGTTTGGAGCCCATTATGCTATAGTTATAACAAGGAACCTCCAAAATAGTCTTGGTAGTTATCTAGGCCCCTATACTAGCTGGGGCCTGAACCTCAGACCTCCACTTAAGGAACCCATGGAGCCAGCTGGGGGTTTCCGAGAATAGGGGACCCGAATATAGTCCCCTAAATAGTAGGATCCTTATTATAAAGACCCCAAAATGATGAAGTACCCCAATTTCGGAAACTCCCAGCCCGTCAGGAACCCTAAACCCTAAACCCTAAACCCTAAACCCCTGGAGCCACCTGGTGCCAGCAAGCCAGGCTACGCCCCTCCGAGTAGAGCATGACACCATGATGTTCTTCGTGTGCAGCAGGCGTCGCATCACATCAAGTACCTGAGCTGACACACTCAATCCAGGGGTTTGAGGCTTCAGGGTTTAGTAGGGTTTAGGGTTTAGTAGGGTTTAGGGTTTAGGGGTTTAGGGTCTAGGGTTTAGGGTTTAGGGCTCAGTCCAGGGGGTTTAAGGGTTCAATCCAGAGATAGAATCCTTAATATATATTTGGTTAAACCAAAAAAAGGAACTACAATGGAGACTATGGGTTCCCTGAGGGTTTACTCCTTGGCTTAGGGTTTAGGGTTTAGGGTTTAGGGTTTAGGGTTTAGGGTTTAGGGTTTAGGGTTTAGGGGTTTAGGGGTTTAGGGTTTAGGGGGTTTAAGGGTTCAGGGGTTCTGGCCACCTTGCTATACTGAAGAGGACATGCCAGCTCGAGGCATCTCAACCTGGTCTTTTAAAGCCGCCAACACAAGCAGGACAGCTACGGTAATCATCCACCAAAGATTTGCCAAAGCTCTTGAAAGCTGACTGACTTATAGGTTCCCCTCAACCCTAACCCCAATTGAACTCCTGTAAAAACCCTAAAACCCAAAATCCTAAGCCCATAAACCCTGAATCTGAAGGTATCAGCTCGAAAGCACGTGCGACGTAATTTCTGGCGGCATTGCGGAGTCTCTTGCGTGCTCGACATGATTCTCCCACGGAGCTGGGGATCAGGCTCCAGATCCGGCATTTCTACATTCTAGGGCGTAGGGTTTAGGGTTCAGGGTTAGGGATCCAGCTCCCCTGGCTATTATGGATAGTCAATAGTCTGCCATTGCTGTTGCTACAATATTGATCGAATTTAGAAGTCGTAGTAGTAGTAGTAGTAGTAGTAGTAGTAGTAGCAGAGTAGTAATAGTAGTAGTAGTAGTAGTAGTAGTAGTAGTAGTAGCGGTGGTAGTAGTAGTAGTAGTAGTAGTAGCGGTGGTAGTAGTAGTAGTAGTAGTCGTCGTAGTAGTAGTAGTAGTAGTAGTAGTAG